CCTGGATGTTCACGAGAATGAATGGCAACTGGAAAAAAACTTACCAATGAGGTTCCAAGATTTTGTAAACGATGTGATCACTGGGAAAGCTTCTATAAGCAGCCACAGCACTGGCCTCCTCCACAAAATGACAATCATTGAGATGCAATGTCACCTCATGATGAGTCCAGTCAGAAACCAAACTACACATTTTAGCGTATCTCCATGGCCAATCCTCATGCTCATTTTCTTTGGGGTCCTTTGGATTGATTCTCCTGTTGAAGATTGTGACCGAATGTTCCATACTGACTTTGTAGTCCAAGACAATGGCCAAGGGATGAAGATCGCCGTCTGCATTCAGATGAAATAATGTTACGGAGGCACACCCATATCTTTTACCGTTGTCTGATTTGAGAACAGCGTCGGGGGAAGCGCCGGCCCATTCGCGGAAAAAACTACAATCTTGGATATAGAAGGACTCTGAATTGAATGTCTCTAGAAGACTATGCATTTCCTTATTGCCTTGATCGAAAGCAGATTTCTTGAACCTATCGAGCCAGATTTGACCAGCGAGAGCAATTGATGAAGGATTAGGACCAGTAAAATATTGTTGAGCGAACACTGCATCACTATACCAATCCTTGCGATAGCCAATACTTGGCTCAGTTCCAATGTTCTTCTCCTCTACTTGCAAAGCTTTCATTCTTTCTTCTAACATTACCATTGTGGTTCCATTATAAGGATCTCCAAATAGGAGATTCGAGATCTCTGGTGGAATTTTGGGGAGAAGCGACACAGAAACATCGACAAATCGTTTGAGATTAAATATCTTGAGTAGTCCTACCCGATCATCAAGAGGTATCCATTTCAAGTGAGGTGGGTATGAAGGGGTTGTGGTTCCCGGAAGCGCCCATTGATAAAGTGCTCGTTGTGTCTCAAATTTGCGTGGTATGAATGGTCGATCTGCTTCGAATCCTTGAGCGCGAAAACTATCTGCGTACCTAAAGATATGTGAGCTCGTCTCATCTTATAGCGCAAGATATATACAACAACATACCTCTCCTCGAGCCTCGCGAACAATTTTGCTGTCGCTTCATTGATTTCGGCAGGCGTTGTAACGATTGTGCTTGCGGCTTTTGGATTGGTCTTCTTGGGTCTTCGAATTATCCTTCGGAAAATATTTGGCTTCTTCTCTTTTGTACCATTAACCATCTTTGCATCCTTGGTTGTGGGCCCATTCACCGTCGTAGTCCCATTGGTGCCATTAACCGCATTTGTTGCCTGATGAGCGGACATGATTACGTGTGGGAAGCAATTGCTACAGATAATATCAAGTGGGTGAACAACATTTATGAATGAATATTTGTGTGTCAATGTTTGTTTCTATATGGAATGAGAAAGAAAATGCGGGCTGGAATGAAGGACAGAATAGGAAGTTCGATGGAATGAACTCGCAATGTACGAAATGAGAAATTTTCCAGCTCACTGTCTTTGGAATATTTGACTGAAAGAATACAATTTTTCACTTGTCTCCTATAGAAAAAGTGATTCGCCTGCAACCATCATGAATTCATCAACTGATTAGCGCCAGGCTCTGATAATAAGAGGAAAGGCGTGGCAGGATTTGTTTTCGGATTTGACCTGTGGAATGTGTACTGTCGCACAATGAGCCTTATTGAGAACGATTGCAGGCACATTGCATATTTATGAAATTTATTTCACATCTTGAAATATTGTCAATTGGCCAAGGGCCGGAAAAAATTCAATGAAGAGCTAAGGTAGAAAACATGACAAGTAGAAAGGTAGATAAGGGGAAGAACTCGGTATAAACACCATGAAAGTAGACATCAAATCTGGAATATCGCTGTAAAAAAAATTCCATCGAGGAAGAATTGATTGGAAAGCGCCAGGATTTGCAAACATAATGTATCATAGAAGTCTGAGAGTAGGGAAAATTGAGTCTTCAGATCTTATTATTCACGTTGACTTCATTTCCTGGGTTGATCTGGAGTACTTCCGAGATCAAAAAGAGTACAGAGTACATCGCATGTCCAACTGCGGCACGACTTCCACGAGAAAGCTACTTCTCAAGCCATATGCAAGCTCTCATTACAAGTATCGCTGTCGGTAACTGCAGATGTGCTCCAATGGTATGCTGCAGATATCCATGTGAATCCCTTCTTTCTCCTATTCCTTAATGTGTTTGCTCTTCAGAGTTTCGTGCATTTGCATGGCGCGTTAATGAGACGAATCCTCTAGCCCACTTCGCGTTCGAATACTTTCGCGCCTTCGTAATATAGGTATACTGTATAGGCCAATCGATCGTCTCTCATTGCTGTCGCGATTATTCACTTTCATCAGCGATAAAGCAATTCCCCTGAAGTCTGCCTGCAAGCTGGTATCGCTTTTGGTCTCAATTCGCCAGCTTCCTTCCCTCGGTCGTGATTTCAATCACCGTTTTGATACTAATCTGCCATGAAGCTTATATCAATTGCTTATCAGAAGTCGGCCTACAAGGGCGTGTTTTTGATAAGGGCCCGGGTCCATGCACAAGCACTTTTCACACCAAAAATTACTTACTTTAGAATTCAATATTAAATTTAATTAATATTATTATATATTTGAAATTTTATAATATAATTTTAGATTTTTTATAGCATTTTTTAATCTAATTAAAATCTATATAGAATTATTAGAATTTAAAATTATTATATAAAATAATACTTATTTTAAAAGTTAAAATTCTATATAAGATTTATTAATTAATGTTTTATTAAATTTAATAAAATTGATATAGAAATAAATATTTATTAAATCTTTAAATATATTCTAAATTTCAAGATTATATAATGAATATTCGAATTATATTTTATTTATAAAAATAAGGAATAAAGCATACTTTTGATAAGGAAATTCGCTTAAATTCAATTCGGGCTCTCATCAAAAACACACCCTCATAGATTTTCCATTGAATGATTTCTTGATCTTTGAATAACCGGCTTTTCGTTGCATTTGATTTGCTGTTCGCAATCAATAGGTTATCTCTGACTTGGTGGGGTCGGACGCCTTCTTAGGGCCACGGCACAAGCCGAACCTTCCACTTACGATACGAAGTGCAGAGATGCGCGCGTGTCACCTTCTTGTTTTTCGAAGCAAAGGATCTCTCTTTGCAGAAGTCGTCAGGCATTTGCGCTAAGCTGAGGGGTGATCGCATTGCAATACCCAAATCTAACCCTTTGGACCTTTGGCAAGAAGTTGGTGAGGTAAAGCTCGTCTGTTACTAATAACACATTTCTATGTGACAACCAATATCCATGAACAATGGTCTTGTTGGCGGAGAACGTTCAAAGAAGTCTACGGACACGTTCTTTCATCTATTATTCATTCAACATTCAAATATTCCCCCTATGATATTACTACAGAGCTCAAAATATGCCATGGGCAAGACATTCTGATTACTTCTAGTTACTTCTCGGCTGATCACAAAAGTACGATACGATTGAAATCTAAATACACCCCGCTCAGTACTCGACGCAAGCATGATGAAAAGGGAAGAGTGGGTAGTCTATTTCTTCTGTCATTGTATTTGCATTTGCCCCGCATCGCATTTCCGAGAGCTGCGCTGCCAAGTTGTGGGAAGGTTAAGAATCCTTCGTAGCACGAGTCCCGCATTGCAGCCACAGTAAGGTTATGATGTTCAACAGCTTTGAACATCTCTTCTGATTTGAACCTTGTTTTGGAAGGTCTTTTCTTATCCAGCGAAATCTTTCACAGCCAGGTGTAATTGTATGTGTGTTTTCAAGCTAATGCAAGTGCATTAAGGATGTGTGTATGACAATGGTGCTACACGTGGTTCAGATGTCCATGTTTGGGGAATCAACAAGAATGGCAAACTATATTACTCCTATCTTCGAAATGGGCAGTGGTGGCCTAGATCTAACTACTATTATGAGGTGATGGATGTTCCTGAAATTGTACCCAGTGTCAATACGGAAAGTTATCCAGGGGCTCAACAGGTATTGGTTCAGGACGAGTTGAAATGAACACTTGGAGAACATAGAACCAAATTATGAGCCAGCATTCCGAAGATGAGATCAAATGCGGTTGAATGGTGGATATTGTGGTAACATACTATCTGAATCTTATTTGGATCATGCATCATTGCTTTTGACATTTAAAAAGGCTCAGTTCTCTCGCCAAATATTCCCACGTTTGAACAAGGATCTCTCAAATTACTTTATCAGAACTATTTTGTTATTTCAATTGTCTTTCAAATTAACTCTGAGATTCGATCATTCGCATGTATTAGTTTTACATGGAAAAGAAGACACTACGGTTCGTGGAGTTCTCCTTCGATTCAAAGGATCATTTCTCTCCTCAATGGCCCTACAGATACAATTGACAACTTGTTCTGGACTCGATAATCTCTCTGAGACTCAAAACTTTGTACACCAGACCCATTGACGTTGATGTAGTTTGTTACAAAGATTTCTTTACATTTTCTCTCAAGCCCATCTAGCACTAGAAAATTTTCTTACTAGTAAAAGACTTCCTCAAGCACAACTATTCAAGAACGACAAGACTCCATATAAGTCCTGCTATTCGAAAAGAGTTGCTTCGTGTCGAAGTCGGCATAGTTCATTGGTCTTCACTGTCTGCCTGCGAATCCCCTCCAGTTCTTTCCAAAATATTCATGAGACGGGAAGAGATTAATCATTATGGTCAGGCATTAATATTCTGTTGCTAATGAAAGACAAATAAGAAAAAAACCAGTTTTTGATCACATATTCACATCCAATCACCGAGGTCACTGTTAGAATTCAAGGAGATCTGATAGATGTGCATTTCCCGACACTTGCGATGTAAAGTTGTGACCTGCTAAAATAGCCATGCATTACGACAAGAATAAACTCTGCCCAGGTGTAATATCGAGATTTTATGCATTCATTACATTATCCGTTACCCTTCGCATAACACATGAGCCCACTCAACTCAAACCACCAGTCAACACTGAGCCTCCATTACTGAGTCTCAAACTCTGCTTCATAAACTCCGCGAAGTCTACGACCATATGAGCTACCTCTTGTAACTTTAGCCTTGGCAACAGTTTCTCCTTGTTCATCGAACATGTGAGAAGTCATGTTCCATCTCTGAAAATTCAGTCCATGGACAAAGGCGGCTAACTTCATCTGGTAAAAGTCATCATCATTGAGTCCAATGATAACCTTCAAGTTCTTGATGTTGAAATTGTTCAGAACCTCAACCATCTTCTTCAGATTTGCGATTCTATTCTTGTAAACAGCACGTGATCGATGTTGTGCGGGCGCATAGAGTCGGATCTTGATGTCAAAGATGAATGTAGCATACATAGGCAATGCTTTAAGAAGCGATGGCATATTGACAATGAATCTTGTGTTGACAAAATCGAGGTCGATAATGAGCTGCTTAGTGTCACCAACCTGTTCGACGGCCATCGAATCGTGTTGATGAATGGCTTGAATGAGCTGCTCAGCCTTTTCCTTCTCGAGCTTCAAATTCTCTACTCGTTGCTTTTCTGCCAATGCCTTATTCTCACTATAGACTGTTGCAGCCCGAGGAGCTTCGACTCTTCCGCGGTTGTTCTTGCAACCCATGATGACGAGTGAAATTCGATGATGGGTTGAGAGGTTAGAATTTTAGTTGGAGAGATGCTGAATAAAATGAAGAGATTTTTTTCTTCTTCAAATTGTTGGTTTCGAGTATGTTGAAAATGTCAGAATCTTTGAGTATGTTGTTGATGGAAGTTTGAATAGTAATCTCTAGTCTGAAGATGCTCTTTTATCTTAAGCTTGATACGGCATATGTCTTAGTGACTTAAATCGCAGGATGTACAGCCGTATCAAGAACAGTTTTATCATCAAACTGAGCTGTACGCCAGCTTCGAATGACCCGAAAATACAATGTCGTGGAGCTTTGATACGGCACATTGGAAAATAGATTCCAAGCTACAAGGGAAACTCGCTTTCGGAATTGAAACATCTCGTTTTCTTGCTTTTGTTGCATTTACAGTCAGGCAAGTGAAATTTTTGGGATGAAAATTGACAGAGGCGATCGATGAAGATGTTGAGTCTGGGAAGACAGCTAGAGATGCGAGAATGATGTTTCTCAATCCGCTTCAGATACGGAAAGATCTGCAGGTCAAACCCCGACTTGTTGATATAAAGCCCTGCTCAGGCTTCTCTATAGGACGGGGACATATTTATTCGGTTAGATTGACCATTCTGGAGAAAGTGGAGACTTCAATTGCTCGGAAGTCTTCATCAATAAGCACTAGCTCTATGAGACGGCTTATGTAATTTTGCTGCACATCAGACTTATGAGTGCGATTCATGGAACCCTGGCCTTTTCGTCTCTCTGTGACTGATATGCTAGCCGAAGCAAAATTTGTTAAGGCTTGTGCAATCAAGGAGAGTTAGAAACGTGATCTCGCAAGTGCCATCACACTGTCCAGAAAGATGCAAAAACTGTTTGACTGAATTCATTTCAGATGCCGGATTACTCCAGCTAGACTCTCACTGGCGCATCTCTTACAGTAAAAGCACCACTTTTCAATCAATCCAAGTTTGTTTGGTGGCATGTATGTTGTTCACTGCGCTTAGGCGCCCTCCAAGCCCGGGTAGAACACCTGCGGCTCAACTATCGTGAATTTCTAATCGGCGTTCCCAGTAGGCGCATCTTTGTGTCCGCTGAGATAACTGTGGAATGGCCGTCTCAATTGGCCTTGCGTGTTTGCTCATCGTAGGAAAATCAAACGGAGGAACCATAATAACACCGAAACACGAAACACTCAAGCACAGCATATATCTATATTCCCAATTAAACGTTTGATTTCGATCGGAAGGAATATTCTGTAGGAAATCACAGCAACAAGATGGTTGTGCTCATGGAAAAGTGCTGCAGCACATATGGTACCAAGCCAAGAATGACGAGGACAGATATGAGGCGGCTGAGATTGAGGAGCGGTGCGGATGCGATTCAGAAGATGTTTCATACCTGTGAATAAAGTTTTGAAGATGTACGTCGGTAGTATCACTATATCTTTTACGTCGCATTATGTAATTCTATCATGTTATATCCGATCCACCCGATAACACAACCATAAGCAATGAATTTTTTGGACCCAATTTCTGGCTGGCGTACAAACACATTGAGCATGTGGTACAGATGATAGTAATGGTGACATTAACAATATAATTACTGGTGAAAAAAAGGAGTCGGAAAAGATAATAGTCGCTTCTGTGGGGAATTCTGGAGCTGAGAGATTTCTTGGGGATTAATTGATATGGGGAAGGTGTTAATGGCTTAATTTGGACTCCGGTATATGTGGAGGAGCATGTAATGAGTTATGCATATGTAATGGTAATCATCAATGGGAGGTTGGGAGTCTAAACTATAAAGAAAAGAAAAACATAGGGGGAGGCCCGTGGGATAATTATATATATAATCATGTAATTGTACAGTAATACCAGATATCAAGGTAGATCGCTATCGCTATTTTATGCTCATACGTACGACGTATTATCTCATGCAAATTCATGTGTATTGTAAAAAGGATATCCGACTCATCCATACGAGTATCGGATTAACATTTAACAACTTCCATGATAAGGAAATATGGGGCGGCGAGGACCACGTTTGACAAATGTAAGCTATTTCTCGTAAGCTGTACTGCACTGTACTTCAAGCCTCGCATCGTTCAACAATATGCGTCATCTTCATGTCTATCACAGATTCACGGTACATACTCCAATCCGCTTACATGTCGTGTGATAACAGAGTTCAGAAACTTCTGTGTTGAATTCCAGAAGAAAAACCTAGTCATAGGTTCAAGTCTAAATGGCCGATTTGGTGGAACAGAATATCCAGTAATTCATATAACGTGGGGCCCCAAGTTGAATTCTAGAATTGGCAATGTTTTACCTTTCCGTTCCCAGTTCTCCCCTCCTGTTCCTCTCCTATCCCGTTTCTATTGCGAGCTTCGTAAAAGTTTCACAAAACTGCTTTTTTTTCCTATTCTCAGTGATCGCAAGTCAACTATCTCGTCCAGACTGTGGGATGAGAAAAGAAGAAGTAGTTGAGGGTTGTGAAGAATCACGTGAACACTCCACACGTGATTTTCAACTGAATGATTGCTTTGAACCAGAACCGTTGTTCCTGTCCCTTTCAAGCTTTGTTACTCCTTTCCAATTCTGAGCTCAATTTGAACATTCCCTCTCCACTCCCGTCCTGAAAAAAATCCTTTACGCTGTTTTTGCTCCTGATGGCGAGCGCCAGCAAGCCTCACCCGTCTTGGACCCCCAAAGGAGGATAGGTGAGACTTGGAGAAGATCAACATGAAAGCTTTATGGCCAATCACCGACCATACATTATGTATGTCCATACAATTGACAGATGGATCTGCAGCACCCTGCCTGTTCCTTGGCTCGGCACTTGACACATGTAACTAACCGCAGATAAACCGACCCCCGGAAACATGCTATCGGAAATGACGGCGAATAAAGATCCACAGTAAACCAACGAATCTGAGGAATTTAAGCGAGACTCAACCGAGATTCACAATCTTTTGGGAAAAAAGGATAAATCTTCTTCCCATCTTGTATCCACACTTTTGACGCAACGCATAACCACCTGCGAGATTTGCGATATCTCCGCGCGGAGTAAGGTTACTCCACACGCAAAAATGCATAACCCTTATTCCCCAGAATATACTCATGTCTGTATTAAGAACACTTTCCTGGGAATCATCTCCATTTTTAATACCAATCCAAACGTGTAAGCATACTAGGTGATGTGGTACAGACGTAGGTATGGAGCCCTCGGAGCGGAAATCTCTGGGACCCACTCATTAAGTATGAAAAGACTTTCCTCCGCTCTTTTTTTTCGATCAATATCATTTTGTGTCTTGTTTTTTTGAATTGTTCTTTGTCTCCCCGTCGCTGTCTCTCACATACACATCAAACGATACAGCGAAGATGGGTATCCTCACTATGGTCGAGGATCGGCCTACGCCAAAAAGCGTTTACAATTGGCGCGTTTATGTATCGGCTATGACAGCTTCATTCGCCGCGTGTATGATTGGATACACAACATCTTTCATCGGAACCACCGTCAATCTTGATTCTTTCAAGGCAGAGTTTGGACTTGATAAGTTGAGCGATTCGGGCGCCAGCTTAATCCAGGCGAATATTGTATCGTTGTTCCAAGCTGGTGCCTTTTTTGGTTCTATATTTGCTTATGGTACTGCATACTATGCTGGAAGACGAATCACTTTATGGACGTTTGTCAGTGTATTTATTGTTGGTGTTTGTATTACGTTTGCTTCCATTGGGGGTCATATCGGCCCGATGTATGCTGGAAGAGTCATCTCGGGTTTCGGTGTGGGGGGATGTACCATGATTGTAGGTCAACTCTAATCTCCTATCCGGGGTCCATGCTTACCCATCAAAGGTTCCCATATACATTTCCGAAATCGCACCTCCCGCTATCCGTGGTCGTCTTGTCGGCACCTACGAACTCGGCTGGCAGATTGGTGGTCTTGTAGGATTTTGGATCAATTTTGGAATGTCTCAAAGTGTGCCATATGGTCGTAACCAGTGGCTAATTCCATTCGCTGTTCAATTAATTCCCGCCGGAATCGTTTTTATCGGTAGTCTCATATTCTTGAAAGAAACTCCACGTTGGTTGTGGACTCGAGGTCGTCGAGAACAGGGTGTCGAGAATCTGTGCTATATCCGACAACTCAACCCCGATGACACTTATATTTTGGAAGAGATTGAGATGATGGATCTTCAAATCAATGATTTGCCCACTGGATTCATCAAACCACTTCGCATGGCGTTTTCTGATAACAAAGTATTATGGAGATTGTTCCTCGGACACATGCTATTCGTTCTCCAAAATTTCGCCGGTATCAACGCTATAGTAAGTAGAACATACTACCATTACTCTATCCTAGATACAAACACTCCATACTGACCCACTCCTAGAACTACTACTCTCCAACCATCTTCAGAACCATGGGAGTAACTAGCACCGAAACTGTCGAACTTATGACTGGCCTCTTCGGCGTGGTAAAATGTATCATGACCGTCCTCTGGCTCACAATCTTGATCGATAAACTTGGCCGCCGCACCCTCTTCATCTCCGGCGGTATCGTCGGGGCAATCCTCATGTTCATAATCGGTGCCTTAATCGCAACCGCCAAAGACAATACCGGTGAAGGACTTGATTCCCAAGGCATCGCCACGATCTTTATGATCTATCTATGGACCTGCATTTATATCACTTCCTGGAACGGTACCCCTTGGGTTGTAAATGCAGAGATGTTCAGCCAAGCTACACGTAACGTTGGACAAGTCGGAGCCTCCATGGCAAACTGGCTCTGGACTTTCGTCATTGCACGTGTTACTCCTAACATGGTAGCAAGCATGGGAAAGAATGGTTTCGGAATGTATTTTTTTTTCGGCTCAATCACCGCTTTGGCAGTCGTCTTCACCTGGTTCTTAATCCCCGAAACAAAATCAGTTCCGCTTGATCGAATGGATGATTTGTTCGCGGCAAGACCAGTTCGTGCCGCGCAAAAGATTGTCATGGA